GGCTAGTTGTTATTTATCTAAACAGAAAACAGTTTTTTCAGGGGACACGGCAGATATGTGTTCAGCGTTTCTTGGAGGACGTCAGATCTTCTGTGCTGTCGCACTTGCTCTTCAGTAGTGGTGAGATCAGAGCTGCGAAATGTACCTAAACACAACTCATCTCTCTCCATACTACCTTTGCTGTGGCAGATGTTTCGACGCAGACTTGAGCCCAGGTGTAGACGCTTACCACATCCTCACTGCATCTCTTACACCTTCTGCACGGTGGAGGCCAGTTTTCCTCATGACCAGCAGCACAGGAGCTGGTAACTAAAACGATGACCGAAATGCATTTATTTTATTCGTGAAAAGTCAAATTGCACGTGAAGATAAGGATGTAGGTGTTACCACTGTATATATATATATATAACATATAAAATAAAAGAAGAAGGAAAAGAAAACCTGTCTGTGTTGCACTACAAAATTAGATGTTTATTCCCAGACGCTAAACAGCGGCATGCATTTACACTACAATATCATTTGTGAGATACTTCTATTATTACTTGAGGAACAGTGGATGGGTTTTCCTCTCCACACAGTGGATAATATCAGAACGTATGTGGTAACAACAACTGGCATGTGCATGAGCCCTCAACATAGACTCATAAAAATTTACATAGGTGAAGCATTATGACGAAAAAGCTAATTTCTGCAATAACAGGGTGCTAAATATTTTTTGCTGCAGGGCCAGATTTGTTTCCCGCCCCAATGTGGACATAAAATGTTGATTAGAAATCACTATAATAAGGTTCCAGTTGCATTGTATCCTGTAACAAGCTTTGCAGCAAGCAAGAGTAATAAAGGAGTCGATACTTAGAGTTAATGCAGAATTAGTTGGATTGTTCCTCCACAGGATTCTGTAAATTTAGGGTGGAAAATATTTAAAATGCACTTAATTAGAAAAATTGAATGTTTAGCTCTAAAAACTGAAAATGAACCATATTTTCTTTCTTAAACCGAAATTTTACTGGTAAAAAAAAGAGAGCTTTGTCTTTCCTATTCCTGCATTTTATGTCAGATTATGTTACCAAACAGGTAGATCAGTTATTAAATTGATACATCTAATTTATTATAATAAACAAGTGTAACTGGTAGTAATTGTTCACCATTAAAAAGAATGGCAGATTTTATTTATGAGAGCCAAGAATTATGCAAAGCGTGATTTCGCAAATAAATACACCTTGTCGTGCACTGTGTGTCTACACATGGCTTTGTGTTCATCATTATAAGTGTGCAAATGTCTTTCTCCCCTCCACCCACTCCCACCCCTGCATCAACCCTGGTTTTCTCTGTCGTCCCTGAACACACCGGGCCCTCTCCTCCTCATCATCAGCGTCAATCTGTGGCTGTCACTCGGAGCCGGACAGTGACTAACGACACTCCCAGTCAGTCAAACACTTATCACCACACAGGTAACACACAGGCCTGGAAATGACTGACATGAAATGGAAACGTCTCTCATTCTGTGGGCCCGGGAGCTGAAGTGAAATATTAGCTGTGGGAGAGATGGCGGATGATAAGCGGCTCCTTGTTTGGGCTGGAATTGCGGAGGTCCAAGTTCTATTACATTTCTTCTTCTTCTTCTTCTTCTTTTTTTCCAGAGGTGTGTGAAGCTGCTTCTTGCTTTCCTCATGAACCAGTTTACAGCAACAAGCTTTGAATTTAACAATGAACCTAACTTCCAGCATAAGCTTATTTGTGACTTTCTCTAGCAGTAAATGGAGCTCAGAGCCGGTGGGTCACTGCTGATATGTAAGCCATTGTCCCTGCAGCTTTCGGATGTCCACAAGAAACAGACCGCAGTCTGCTCAATGTCAGTGGGTCACATATGTTTCCACTGTCTCTCCTATTACTCACAGACTCCACAGTATCCTCCCTCCATCCCTCTTTTTTCTTTCTCACTCACCTCTCCTTTATGCACACACGCACGCAATTCCCCCCTGTGCAGAAAGATGGATGGGATGTTCCCAACCACAGGTGCTGCTCTACTTGTGAGTCTTTTTGCATTCTTCACTGCACGATCCAGTCCTGCTTTTAGAGTTATGTATGGCAGTGCGTTCAGTCTGTTTGTAGCTCAGTGGGAATGGGCTGATGTTCAAAAACAAAGAAAAACTCACTGACTTCATATTTAACCCCGCTTTCCCAGACTTGGTCTCCCAACCAAAATCGCCACTAGATGGGGTTGATTTCTTTTCCAACTTGTCTGTTTGCTGTTGACCCTATTGAAACCTAAACTAGGAGCTTTCTGCTGTGCACATCACACCACCTTGTGGCTGAAATTAGTAGCAGCCTGAAATAAAACAATATAGCAAAGCTTTTGCTGTATACACTAGCAGTTTGGTACTTTTATGGCAGTAATTCCCAACAAAAGGCCTGTTGAGGGTGTTGTAATGTTCAGTGTGTTTGTAAGACAAATATATGCACAAATGGGAATATAAATTAGTGTTATTCAGTAGTTCAGAAGGTTTAAGATTAATTCTTTTCTCTTCTCACACTAACTGGGTGACCCTCTAAGATATATCAGTAAACCTTTGGAAGATCAGGGTTTTGCAACATCAACTGGTAAGAATGTATGAACGCTATGAGGGGAAAAAAGACATGAAGCCTAAAAACATGCAAATCCCTGACAGGCACTCACCAGCCCCTTTGTTAGGTACAGCTGTTCAGCTGCTTGTTGACACAAATGTCTACTCATCCATCACATGGCAGCAACTTAGAGTACGTACACATGTAAACGTGGTCGAGACGAGCTGCTGAAACTAAGCTTGAGAATGGGGGAAGAAAGGTGATTTAAATTGCTGTCAGTGTGCTGTGGTTGTTGGTGACAAACTGGTTTATTTCAGAAACTGTTAATCTGCTGGGATTTTCCCACAAAACCATCTCTGGGGTTTAGAGAGAATGGTCCGAAAAAGAGGAAATATCCAGCGACAATTCTCTGTTTGAAAATATCAGGAGAGAGTGATTAGATGACATTGAGCTGATAGGAAGGTAGCAGTAACTCAAATAATCACCTGTTACAACCAAGGTACGCAGAAGAGCATCTCTGAACGCACAACATATAAAACACTGAAGTAGATCGGCTACAGCTGCAGAAGGTGCTAGAAGGTGTCAGCTAAAAACAGGAAACCAAGGCTACAGCAACACTCATCAAAACTGGACAATGGAAGATTGGAAAAATGTTGCCTGGTCTGCTGAGCCTTGAATTCTGCTGCAATATTTAGATGGTGATGGGTCAGAATTTCCTATAAACAACATGCAAGCATGCCTTGTATGAGTGGTTCAGGTGGTGGTGTAATGGTGTCGGGGGAAATATTTTCTTTGCACATTTTGACCCCATAGTGTCCCCATCTTCTGTTGGCTGTTTCCTCTTGGATAAAGCAGCATGTCACAAAGTTCAAATCATCTCAAACTGGTTTCTGCAACATGACAGCGTGATAACTGGCCTCCAGAGCCATCACAGGTCAATCCAATAGAGCACAACATGGATGTGCGGTACCTTGTTGAATCTGTGTCGGAATAACCTTACGTTGCAGGGTGTGCGTAATAAAGTGGATAGTGAGGGTAGACTTACATGTACAGTCAGCACATCCTATGTTAGCTCTGCAGTTTTGTTTAAATCAGTAACAGGAAACTAAAACAGGGCATTTAAGCCCATCTAATGCCATTTCATTGTGCGTGTGTATGCATTAGATGTTACCTTAATAAGCTATAACAACTATTTTTCCTTGTAACCCAAAGCCCAGTGTAATTTTTCACTGGATCAGTTATGAAATAAAAACACTGATGCAAAAAACAGATCTTCACTTCTGCTTCTAAGACAAACCGTGGGACTGACCCCGACTTGAGAAACTGAAAAACCTATAACGAAGCACTTCATCTTACCACAGTGCTGCACGCCCCTTCGGTTATTGCGTAACATTCCTTTCCCTTGAATTCATATGACCGGGACATTGAGGACATCTGTAGGGAGGCCTCAGCTCTGCATTTAAGCGGGAACATCTTGTTGTTGACTTGACTGATGGTTTCCTGTCGTGAGATGAAGAAACAGCACAAAAGAGGCACTTGAAAGAACGTGTCTGTGGTCTCACCTGAATCCAGCAGGTATGTAACTATGCAGCAGTCTCTGTGGTCACCTTGGTGACCACAAAAACACCTCATATTTTGTTTCCTGCAGCTAACAGGTACTTTGTGGTGTGCTTTGCTTCTACCACCTGTCTCTTGTTTTTGTCTTCCAGCACAGGAATTTGTATTGTATTGGTTAAAAATTTAAGATCAGGTTATCTGACATCTGCTGCTTCTGATTGTGGGCGCCGGGAAGAGTAAACAAACCTCTCGAAGCTCATCAGCAGCAAATTTAAATGCCAGCTTACTGATACTTGAATGACTTGATGTTTTCAGGCCAGATAAGTTAGAAACAAGCACTACTATGCAGGGATTGACTTGCACGTGCCATTAAAAACTGCGCATATGTGTATTTAGTGCACCCTGCTGAAACGTTACCTTTTGCATGAGAGTGGAGCTGCAGTAGAATTGGAAAGTTTTTCAAGCTGTGACACCTGCCTGCATGGATGTCTGTCACCTGTCTGAGCTACAGCCGTTGTGAGACCGCTGTGGGAAATGTCTTTCATGGCAGTATGAATGGCTAACGTTAGCTTTCGCTGTGAAACTGCCAAGTCATACCCAAACAAGGTTCAATCATAAAACAGTGTCAGCAGACAGGATGGCATAGACTTTTAATATGAGGATGTGTACTCAGATCGAAAACAGTGAACTTGCCACATTCGAGTATGTTTCCCACCACACTAAATACGTTATACTAGTGAAAGCATTTAAATACTTCCCCAGGTATAAACTGCTGATCTCATCACTTAGCCCCTGCAGAAAGGGGTACTTGAACCGACCATTGAAGACTCATCCTGTTTGTTGTTGTGCGGTGAAGTATTGAACATAAGCAGCATAAACTGGAGTATGAATCGTTTTTTTAATGTTTCGTAGTCATTTAAAGCAGCACACAGCAAATACATGATGGAACAAATGTTTAAAAAAAATACAAACAGTATTTACAGTAATGTACAGTTTTTACAGTAATTTCAGATAAAAATGTGCCTGTTACTGTCAGTATATGGTTGAAATTAATGTAAAGGCTTTTTTTTAAAAAAATTGTTGTTGCTTTTGAAGTTGCAAATGCCATTGTTGCTCCTCTAATGTGGAGTAATGCATGAAGAACATAGTGGAAAACATGAATTGGGCTCAGATCTCAGGTACGGTTAGGGAAAATGGGCAGTTATATGGAAAGGGCAGGAGTAGTATCAGTGTCTGACATGAGAGAGGGGCGTTTGGGAACTGCCTGCGTTTTACTGAGCCCTCCTTTGCTCACACCTCCAATGCAAGTCCTCACCATCCTTTGCAGGTCTTGTCTGAACCGAACTCCAATGAAGACGTAGAGGAAGGGGTTGAGGCAAGCGTGTGTATATGCCAAACTTTTGGCAACCTGTCCAGCTATATCAAAATTAATTACAGTGTCACAATCTGTGTAAGTCATATTAGTTGCCTGTCTGGCTTCCACAATCAGCAGGCTATTGTAAGGCAGTTGAGAGAGGACAAAAACAAACACCACAGCAAGGATGACACGGAGGGCCTTGTGCTTTTCAAAGCTCTTGGCCTGCATAAGTGTGCGAATGATGACAGAATAACAAAAGAACATGACTAGTAGAGGAATGCAGAAGCCCATGCAAATCTGCAGGGACAGCACGAGGATCTTTGTATGATTGTTTACATTGTTCCAGTAGACCATAGTACAAAATTGCATTTCTTCAGATATCTTCACCTCGGCGAAGATAAACTCAGGGAGTGTGAGGAGAGCAGAGACAAACCAGACACCAAGGCAAGCAAGTTTGCTGTAGAACAGCCTCTTTTTCTTTAGGTTTTGGGCCTTAATAACTTGAACAATAGCAATGTATCGGTCCACACTAATGCAGGTGAGAAGAAACATGCTGCTGAAGAAGTTGATCTTATAGACAGCGGACACTATTTTGCAGAGAGTGATGCCAAAATCCCAGCCTTTAATGGCATCGACTGCCCAGAATGGAAGCATGCACAGGAAAAGGAGATCAGCCACTGCCAGATTTAGCAGATACACATCGGTCATTGTTTTCAGGCGGTTGCGCACAGTGGTGTAGATCCAAACCACCAGCAGGTTACCCACAGCACCCAGGATGAAGATGATCCAGAAGAGCGGCGGCTCGTACTGCCCACGAAACTCTCTGACCCAGGTTTTGTCACACATGCCTGATTCGTCAGTTGACAGAGAATAGTCCTCGGTCTGAAATCAGAAAGCAGGTTTTCTCGTGAGCTATTAAAGACAACTGTTTGCAACAGATGCACTGTCTTTTTGTCTTGCTTTGAGTTTCCTGTCATGCATCTTTTTTTCTATCTCTCTCTCTCTCTCGTTGAAACCCAACTCACTCTCTCTTGGTTACTCGTTGGTGGTTACATAAGATAACATGTTTACAATGGGAATACAGTGAAATTACATCAAACACTGTCTGTGACGTGCAAGCTAACCAGAGTATGCAAAAAAAAACTGCCGTCAGGTGCAGGTGCCGTGTCTGTACTGGAGAAACCACACTACTGCACAGTTTCCTGCTGCTATCCAACCCTGAGGCGAAGGGGGGGGGGGGGGGGGCGACCGATCCCGAGGGGCTCCAGAAAGGGGCCCCCTGCAGAACTCAGGACCCCCAGAAGCATGGCATTTAGATATAGGGCAAAGATAAAAAGCGGCGTCTTGGTGTTGAGATACAATGGAAAATTTGATGCGAACTACAGCCGTGGCTCTCTGTGGTAATTTAGTATTCTAGAGATGTCTGCTTTAGATAAATCGACTACACTTGGGTCACTAAATGGATTCTTTTACACTTTCAATAAAGATATTTGATGGCAAATAATCAAACTCAGGTTTTGTTTACGTACAGATTTTTAAACAGCATCTTAAATTAAGTTTTACGGTATTTTTGAATACTTTAAATACAGCAAAACAATACAAAATGTCAGCACTCCATGTGTAAGCAGGCAATACTAAGAATGGCAAGTCTACTATATATAGAATACAGACATTAGTGTTTATGAGTTTTTTCAAAGTAATACTCACTGGAGAATATGTTGTTTCATTGAAATCACTGAAATCCTCCATGATTGCTACAAAGGAACCAGAAAATGTTCAAATTAAAAACAAGATTAAAAAATAGATTGCAAAAATAAAATAAAAAGTAAAAAATAAATGAATAAAATAAACATTAAGTAGAACAAACTAAATATAACCTGGAGATGAACTAAATGTTAAATGGAAACATCTTTTCAGCAGACCAACAAAATACTTACCCGCTCAGTAAGGCCGTAGTAAGCAACTTCACAGTCACAGGGTTGTCACTTTTACCAAGCACGACTCATCTTCACTAACTTATATGGTTTCTCTGCAACCACAGAATCACGTGACGATATCAGTTCATTTCCCCTCTAGGCCTTTGTTGATGCACGCGCATGTCTTTATTACAGCTAGCAGTACTTCAAAAACTAGCATCAGACATGCATGGTTTCAAACACTGACAACGTTGCACCAGTTTAAAGGAGAAGTTGTGATTTTTAGGCTGCACCATCTGAACCCTGACCATCAGGCTGGAACCAAAGCACATTCTCTCCACAGCTGATTGGGTTTGATCGAGTCGTGGCCCATTTTGTACACACAGGTGTGGAGCACTTAGAGCAGGAGATGAGTGATGCGTGAAACTGAAAACCAAAGTGCGATTAAAGCCTAAAGCTAAAAGATCGTGGGCGCTGCTGTTTCTTTGCAGTTTCAGTGGTCTGAAATTCAGACGATGTGGGCTTGTGTCAAAATAACAGTATGTGTAAGCCTTCTTGTTTCTTATTAACATGTGCTCTTACTTAGTAAACAACTCATTGTCTGCATGAGAGAAACCGTGATTTCCCTTTGAAGTATGAGGAAATCAAATCTGGGAAGTAAAAAGTTCGTTTGGTAATGCCTAGACTAGGCTAAAGGGAGTTTAATAAAAAACATGATCATGCTGGATGCTGACCACAGTGGTGCAAAACAAATGAAGAAGAAAGTCCCTGACATACCACCTGACATCCAAACAAAACTGAAAACATAAAGTCATCTTGTGACCCGGGATGGAAGATGATGATCACACTGTGACACCCTCATCAACAAGAGCCTGACACACTTTGAAAATGATTATAGATCAAATTATTGAAATAGTTCATCTGTTTTTGCTTCCTTATAGGGTTCTCTTGGGGGGCTATTTTGACCTCTCAGAAGGCCCTCCGTATGACTGAGTGTGTTGTATTCTCAAAGTTTCACTTCCTGGCCTGGATTCCTTAGCACTTGAATCAAGAGGATGAGCGTGCGAGCCATTACCTCTTCAAATTTCTACCAATTGCTCACTGGTTGCGTTTCTCGGTTTTGATCGGCGTGAGGCACGAGGAAATGAATATGTCATGATCTGTATTTACCTTCTGGGAACAGACTGTTGAAAGTGTAGCAGCCTGAGAGGTTTCACTCACTACTTGCCATCTACCAACTGTCAAAGTGCGGCTAATTGCATGGCTTTGATCTGTGGGAATGAAAAGCACCATAGCAGAGAGACCATTACATACCGTCAAACAGAAAGTTTCGTTGGCATCGGTTGATGACGGCGCCACATCAGGCTCCAAATTGAAGATGAGATCAGCTTTCGAATCTTTGATGCAGTGGCTTTATTGGGAACTTTCTATGAAAAACAAACCAGTGGACATAATATGTGCGTAATCAAAGTTTACTGCCCTTTCAGTATCAGTATCAGGGTCAAAATGGCGAAGTCATACATCGCAATCCACCAATCTCCAATAGCTGTCATAGAGTGAGAGACAGGGTACAGGTAAGGTCAACACAAAGACGCAGACAACCATTTAACAAGTGCAGTCAACTTAGCTTTGCTAGTTAACATACTCGTGTTTTTGGACTGCAGGTGGAAGTGGGAGTAAACAGAGAGAACCCATGTAGATGCATAAACTCTGTGTCATAAATGTTGTTTGATTCAAACTCGGGACCTTTCTGCCTTGATGCAAAACTGCTAACCACTGCGCCACTATATGAACCACAAATCACATACATGGATAATAAAAACAAAAAACTTGCTTTGAGAGTCTTTTCACTCCCCCCCAAAAAATGCTGCATAGAATGACAACACAGTCATGCAATGGTTCATGTAGCAAGCTGTTGTAGATTGTAACCACGGTTATGCATATTTAAAGGTGACTAAAGGAGGTAGTTTACCCAACACGACTGCAGACTGCCGCCTGAATGACACACTTTAAGGCTTCATGCATCTCATGACATCTTATGACATAGCTCTCACTGCTGCTGTAGCCATGGGTGTGCTTTGTGTTTTCGTTGTTGTGTAATACGTGTGTGTGTGTGTGTGTGTGTGTCTGTGTGTGTGTGTGTGTGGTGTGTGTTCTCCGTGTGTGTGTGTGGTGTGTGTGTGTGGTGAGGTAACTTTGTTCACTGAGGCCCCTGCTCTTCAACCTTTGTGGTGTGTTGATAGTAATGTCTGTCATAAAGGAACCGTTGCACTGAGCCGTTAGCTGTGGATTACAAGAGCCTTTTAAAACAATAAATAAAAAAATAAAAAAATAAAAAGCAAGATTCCTGATTAATTTAACTGTATCTGTATTTTCTGTGTTTGGACTGAACCAATAAATCAAACTATTTAATGTACATGAAATGCAAAGGAGATTTTGTTTTTAAAAGTCCAGGAAAAAACAATAAAACTAACAGATCTGTTTCTGAACATTAAGGATGAATTTCGATGGCACAAAATAAGAATTATGAACCTTCTCCATGCTCTGTTTTCAGGCTTTAGAAAATCTAACCCGTGACGGCACACTTCGCCCAATCACACATCTTTTCAGCCGTATCAGGTGTGATGTGGTGGCACTGCGGTTCAGGCAGAGGTCTTCCAGCTGTGTGTGTGTGGTGCTGTTTGTTCAGGCCAACCGTCAGTACTGACCTGCTTTTGAAACACACACAAATGGAAAGGAGAAACCTCCAAGGCTGACTTTCAGTGGTGTGCTGAATATAGGAGCAACCAGCAGCTGCCAGCTCAGCCTTACCTGTGCCAATCTGAGCCACTGAGCTGGATTTCTCATCCATGTTTTCACTTGCGGAGTATTTTATTCAAAATGATCAGAGAAACATTTGTGTTTTAGTTTTAGTGATTGATAAAACTGAAGTTATTGTACTGGGCCCTAAAAATCAGCTTCCAGGCCCCTCTCTTTGGAACCAGCTCCCAGACTGGATTTCAGAGACAGACACTTCTCGACTTTTAAGGCCCAGTCTGCTGGGGGGTTCCCATGAGGCACTGAGTGTTTCTTCTTCACTTACCTTTTTCACTTTCTATTCGTTTACACATTACTCTGCATTTCCTTATTAGTTATTATCCATCTCTGGCTCTCTTCCACAGTGTGCCTTCTTTTCTGTCTTCCTTCCATCACCTCAACTGCTCATGGCTGCCCCTCCTTGGGTCTAGTTCTGCTGGAGGAGCTTTTACTTCTCACTGTCACCAAGCGTTTGCTCATGTGTCTGCATATTGCACCAATACAGCGCATCACTTCCTCATTCATATGTGGTCACTTGCAATTCCAAACAACAAAAACCCACATGCCAAAACGCTGAGGCTCTGAGATGTGCCTAGAAGTCAACTGCTGATGTCATGCTGCAGTCTGTGGGATATTCCCATCATCATCTGGTGGGAGAGGCGTAGAACCGAAAACCAGATGTGGCATATTTTGCTACCTTTTCTAAATCTCCAACTCTGAAGAATATAAAGCAGGGAAAACACCCTGGAATGACCATGTATACAACCTGAAACAAAAAAAATACTAGATCTCTCAACCCAATCATCCCTTGTGGGAATAAAAGACTTTGAACATGTTGTTTTGATACCTATTCATGTCAACATAACAAAAAGGCATGAAAAATCACAGAAAGTCCAGAAACAAAGGATTGTCCCATTTGTAAAAGCAAAGTAAACAGTGTAGTTTCTGCGTTAAGTTTTGTAGCGTGAAATGAATTTCCACTGTGATAGACAAAGTCGCAAAACATAAGCAACAGATTCATATGATAACCTGACTTCTCTCTGATTGATGGGGGTAGATTAGTCAACAGAATGAATAAGAGGGGGAAAAACCTCCCAATCACTTCAGCTAAACCAGGATTATGTGTGTTACACTTACAACTGGAGATCCTCGTAGCACAGAGAGGCAAACTTTGAGTCGTTTTGTGAACTCAGCATGTATGTGCCATTTTATTTCACAGAAAAAGCAAGATAAAAAACAACTGCGTTAAGCAGTTATTCTCAGAAGTGACTAAAAGCTGCTTCCAGTATCTCTTTGTCGTCATCTGTCTCATCTCTTAGCAACTGCCAGTTACTGAGTGACATCGAGCGGGCCCGGGAAGCTGAGATATGCAGGCCTAACCTTTTTACAACAATGTTCCCACAGTGATAGTGAGGTAGCCGGCGTCACAGGGATAAAGGCAGAGACAAAGGATATGAGAGAAGGGAACCAACCTGGAAGCAGCAGTTGATTTAACAGTGTCAAATAAAACATACCTACTGGTTCCACGGTGTTACGATTCTGCCACATTATGGTTACTGGGGCGATTCAGAAATCTTGAGAGACGGCAGCGTTGTTGAGTTTGTCTTTTGTTTAGAGAATCCAAGCAACATGGATGGATTAACAGACAAATGTAATATCTCAGCTATCAATACACTGCCATACACCTTTACACTTACATTAACATCACCTGCAGGACAAATAGTGATCAAATATGGCTTGTGATACGTGACTGCTAAATCACACTAGTACAAGTTCAGGGCAAGATTGAACAGGAATGTTACACTGCTCTGTAGTTACTGAATGCCATGTGGGTGTAAATATGCCAGCGCTAACATCGAAACCTGAGATTAGCGTAGATTGCCGCAGTCTTTTCTTCCCCTTAAAGTCCAACCATCTTTGTTTTAGGACATTTACAGTCTGAAACTCTCCCCACCAGCACCAGCAAATGTCTGCTTCATGATTCTGTAGAAAACCAGAAGCTTCTGCGTTGCTAGTGAAACTGAGAAAACCCCTTTGATGCCTTGTCAGTGAGCAGGAAGCTGTTCTTCACCAGCTTCACTACTCTGAATTAACTATTGCCCCATACTGTGGGAAAGTGCTGTGACTTCTCTCAGCAGTGCAAGAGACTCTGCTTGGTACATACAAGTCACCACTTCCTGTGCCTGCTGCTGTGATTTATTGTCAGTCTGTTGTACAGCAGCTTAGCTTGTGCATCCTATCCGAACCAACCAGCGGTTCTCAATCCCCATCTTGTTTACTCTTTAGCTGCACCACAAGCACGTGACCACATGCAAATATAGGGCAAGGATTTATTTATTTTTTTGCTAAACACAACTTTCATTAGGTGGTGGAGAAGAAATAATGTAGATGCCATCTTTCTGAATCAGAGCAGCGCTAATAGGTTTTATAGCATCATCATTGTTATGAGTTTACAGCTCGTATAAGCACGTAATGTGTTTCTCACCTACTCCCTCTTTAAACACGTATGAAAGGAGGACCACCTCATGTGCATAAGTTCTGTGCAAGATGCATAATTCACATGAGTTTAATTCAGGACGCTGTGGCTTTTAAGGGTTTCAGTGAAAACAAAAAGGGTTTGACGGTTGACTTGCTGGTGACCACTGTTTCTTATTTTGGTGCTATCTTGGTCTACTTTGGTTAGGAGAAACAGGGAAACAAAACACATGTTTCTCAAGATAAGCAAAGCAGATTAGACATGGTAAACTCTACAACAACAGCAATTCTTTTGTGCAAATAATATCAGTCAGCACTATTATTACGAGTATCATCAGAGAGATTTACCTCATGGTCATTTTACCCCTCGGAATCTTCTTAACAGGTAATTTTTTTATTTTTATTTTTTGGTGGTACTTTACTAAAACCCCTTGCTGATTTAGCATGAAATAATACAGAATCCATAAACATAATAATACTCCTGCCCACAGATTTGTAGTTAAAAACATGTAGTTTTGTGCTTTGTTGTTCCTGGGTGTCTTAGTGTGGCAGCATTAGCATCTAGTCTTACTTACTGGCCTGAAAAAAACATACATGGGTCAACACACAAAACACGATTGCATCTGTAACTTGAAAAAAAAGAAAAGAAAAAATATATTAAGTACTTGTGAGTAACCAGTGCAGTGACAACAGGCTGCAAAGTCACTGACATCAAGCACCTGTTGCCCAAACTGAGTTTTTTCAAGGTTATAATGAGATACATTTATTTGTGCATGTGTATTTTTGTATTACTGCATTGTGGCGCCCCCTGGTACAGATTACACAAACGTGCCATGTGTGTGGCATGGCATTCACTACATCGACTTTTTTTTTTTGTTTTAAATGAATAGGGTGAGTATTTTTAATCAAACACACTCAACTCCCACGTTGTTAGGTGGACCTATTCAACAGTTTGTTAAGGGGAATCTCTAATCATCAAATCTGATTTTCAGAAACTGCTGATTTACTGGGATTTTTCCACTCCCGTTTACAAAGGAAAAAAAAATAAAAAGAGAAAATATACAGTGAGTCCCAGTCAGACAAAAATTCCCAGATGCTTTGAGCTGATAGGAAGGTAAGTTACTCAAATAACAAAATATGTAGAAGAGCATTTCTGAATGCAGCACACATCAAACGTCGAAGCAAATGGGCTAAAGTTGGCATTCCTGTTAGTTAAATGACAGAACACCAAGGCTGTAATTGACATAGCACGACCAAGATTGGACAGCAGAAAAACAGAAAAATGTTGCCGGGTCGGATGATCCTCTACAATATTCGGATGGTGGGGTCATAATGTAGTATAAACAACATGAAAGCATGGATCCGACCTACTTGTATCAGTGGTTCAGGCTTCTGGTGGTGGTGTAATGGTGTGGGGGATATTGAATTGGCACACTTTGGGCTCCCTAATATTAACTGAGCATCATTTAGATGCCACAGCCTACCTGAGTATTGTTGCTGACCATGTCAATCCTTTTACGACCACAGACATCAGTGTACCACAAAGCTCCAGCGATCTTAAACTGGTTTATTGAGCGTGACACTGAGTTTACTGTGCTCAAATGGTTTCCAGTCACCAGACCTCAATCCAGTAGAGCATCTTTGGGATGTGGTGGAACCAGATAGTCACATCATGTATATGAACCAAAATCTCTGAGGAATGTTTCCAGTATCGTGCTGAATCTGTGCCATGAAGAATTATGCAGTTCTGAAGGCAAAACGAGGGTCAGGTTACTAGTGCACTAGAAACATGTTCATGCAGTAAAGTGTCTGTTTAGTGTATGATATCAGCTGAAGTTAAATGTGAAGAAGAAACTTTCATAAAACCAACGACATATTTTAGTACCAGCTTTTATTACCCCATACTTTGCACAATACAAACAAACACACATCTAGTGTAATATAGGGTAGATGTGTCATACTCTACAAGAGCATTACTTCATGAACATCATGTAAATATATATTTTTTTCCTCTTACACTCCATCGCCCACAGCAATACGAAAAGTACATGGATAGAGATTCCACACAAAAATATTCTATGCGATTTTGAAGGGGAAGTAGGGAAATCACTGTAAATCATTATTCATGTAATTTAATAGGCAAGAGCAGAAAAGTAAAAGCTCCGGGTTTTCACGCATTGGGAAAAACAAAAACAAAAAAAAAGAAACACTGTAGGTATTTGGTGTGAAATACTATTAAATGCTTAGGTAACAAATCAGATGAACCGCAACAGATCAATAAACTTTTTTCTGTGGCTTGGATTTGCTTGAAACTGCATGTAACTCAAAAGCAATGCCAAGTTCACTAGAAAACGGGGCTGCTGAGATTAAGACTAATCAGCAGGATATCAGTAATCACCTGATGCATGAATGCCAAATATTTTAACCTATGATCACACAATAATAAGACTGCAAAGCTTCCGGCAGACAAAAACGTATCTGTCAAATTCAGCAAACAGACAAGGCCTCTTCAAACTGGGACGTGTTGGTAATTGCATAGAGCACAGAGGGAAGTCTGCTAGCTACTGTAAGTGAGCTCTGAACTGAGACACGGAAAAAGAAAGCTCGGCCATCACTACTACATTTGTGTGTGTGTGTGTGTGTGTGTGTGTGTGTGCTTCCAGCTCCTACTCTTTACTAAAGCCGATTACTAGTGAAAATGCCAGACAAAGCGTGAATAACAGTTTCCTTGTGGAAGAGCTTTTTTTCTGTCTCTCTTGTCTTACAGCAAAAGATCAGATGGTTTCATATCCAAACCACAGTCGTAAATCTTGGTCCCACTTTATACCCGCAAACATCTGTTAAACCAGCTGTCCGGGGTGGAGCTCACTCATTAGGCTCATATCTGAAACAGAGAGCAAAATCTGAAATTAGTCAAACATGAACAAGAGAAGGAAAATCTCACAGTTAGCTTATTAGTATTATATATTATGACTACACTGGGATGCCGTATGATTTTATTTTCAAGGGTGTTGATTCATTTTTACCTACTAGATTTGGATAATCTCACAATCATAGACTCACCTCTGCAATCGTTTCCTAATCTCTTTGATCTGCTCGTTCTTCTTGGTTAGAATCTCCTTCATGTTGCGGTAGGCCGCAGTTTGCTGGAACTTCTTCTCCAGCTCCTGCGCGCAACACACACACACACACACACACAAACGCACACACACACACACATTCAAACGTGAGAAAAACAGCACAGATTGCTCAGTGCACCTGACCAACTGTCCCAATGGCATCAGGTGGCGAGTACAACATTCAATTGCATGACCTTTTGCTTAGAAACTCATGACAGGAAAGTGAACATGAAAAAACGTTTGCTTCCGCAGTGCCACTTGCAAAATAGGAACTGGCTGATGAAGAGCAAGGAGAGATTCGTAAACAGCAAGAAAGGCCTTTTGCGTGTCATGTTCGCAGACTTCATGACACCCTCATTGTCTCACAACTTCAATAATAACTGGGTAGAACAGCAACAACAACACTTGACATTTTGTGGGTGTTAACTATATGTTTGCTCGTTACTTTCAATTCCTGGAAGAGACCAAAGTTGCTCACTTTCTCTGCCAAGGCCAGCTGCTCTTGCACTCGCAGAAGCTCATGTTTGGAAGAGATCAGGTTGTCCTGCAAATCTTTCTGGGTTGCCACGTTGGCGCTGAGAGACCTTTCGTAGTCCTCTTTCAGAGCTGCCACTGTGTCCTCTAGACTGTTGATTTCCTTGGATTGAGCAGCCACCTTAAAGGGAATGGCAACACCGTTACCTCACCTTTTTTTGAATGAGTTGTGACATCAAGACTAAAAAAATCTATTTCTAACGACGACAAAATACACACTTTGACCATGTGGATACATACCATTTAGGTCCAAGTTGGCAGATAAAAGCAAATGGCAGAAAACATTTATATGAAAACGAAAAACTGTAAAGTTAAACAAGCGAAAGTAGCGAAATGGAACGCAAACCGAGACCCAAAAAAAAGAAAAAGTGAGAAGATGACACTTGCTGACTGAAAGCCACATTTGGAAACGTACCTGCTGTTCCCCTTGCACTCTCTGAAGGTCTTTCAGAGCTCTCTCTGCCCTGGATTTCTCATCTAGTGCACTCATGGCCTAAACAATCAAGCAGGAAGAGAATTAACAACACAACTATCGCTATCAAGCACGAGTAAGATAGCACGTTGTTTAAATTGTTATTTGTGTACCTGGGATTCTAAAGTCCGGAGCCTCGCTCTCAGTTTGTCATTTTCCTGTTGTAGTCTCACTATCTCCTGAAGAAGTATTAAAGATACAGTAGCTGTGGTTTACTATGTAAACATGCGGACAATCCAACATCCCAGTGAATCTATGGAAGCAATCCATATAATGTACCACATTTCTTTACCTTGTTGAGAAGTTCAGACACTCCACTTTCATTCAGAGGGGCCAACTTGGGTTTGCTTGTTTCTTTGTTTATCTGGGGGATATTTTTAAATAACAAAGATTAGATGGTCAATTGTTCTTTATCTAACTGGTATGTAACTGTAAAACAAAAAAAATAAAATCAACACCATTTAGGCAAGTCATTCACTTTCCCATAAATGTGATCATTTCGTCAGAGTCATGAAAGAGCAGTTCATTTTGTTTGTCATAAAACGGTATGTGATAAAACCACTTGTCAACCTCAGTGATGTGTGAGTAAGTAACCACCAGGCTACTATAGACAGGTACAGAAAACTATTTAAAATGTACAGAAGCAGCTGCACGCCTCTCTAGTTACTAACTGTGGGTACAAATACGCTAGGGACACATGATCAATGACGAATATCTCAGCGGTAATGTTTGAAGCTCTCACACGTGCCAAAACTGCACCTTATGCTCACCTTATCGGTGGTTTTAAAGTCAGTCTTCTCAAATTCAGCCACTTGCTCCAACAGCTCCCTGTACGGGTCAGACGATAACAAAGCATTAGACGATAGAAGTAACATTTATTTATATAGTGCTTTTCACAGACCTAACAGTCACAAAGTGCTGAACAACAGTGAAGACATGATATTGCATAATAAGACCGAAAATGAAAAATTTTACATGCAGAGAAAAATTATGACAGTTTATTTATTATGACAAATGTAGGGTTACTGTAAACAGCACTTAGATGCTACACTGGGTGCACTGATATGACAATCTGTGTGATCTCCTCACATCAGCTAACTTGTCACCACAATGTCGATGTTTATGTTTTTGAACATTACAGCGATCTACCATCTAAATGTTTGGCAGGGAAACTTAACACCCTATCTCTTGGTGGCAGTTTAGCACTCATGTTTTAAGATGCACGCTTGTGGTGAGCAGATCAGGCTTCTGAAAAGCTGTAATGTGGTTTTAAATAGCAGATGAAGACACGTAGCCTGTGATATGGGGCGTATTCCTAGCTTTAGACACCGTATAAGTCACGTACAGCTGAGCCCTGTGAAAAAAAGGCTTTGGAGGTTATTCATCCACCCACTGTTCGCATATTACAAAACTACTTTTCCAAAGAACACACACAGTGTGTTAACAAGGTGAAAGGTGAGAAGAGGTCACATTCATTTATGAAGTTCATCAGAGTGTCACAGAAAACAGGCGGTGCGTTTATACTTGTGTATGAGCCATGGGGCGCTGCACTGAGCAACCTGGACCCCGGGTCTGGGTCATTAGGTCATCGTAAGTAGGACGTTTGGACAGCAAGCTGATGTTATCTGACAGAGATAAAGAAAAAAAGTTGCCTTCATTTCCTCACTCGTGAAAAAAAGGACCGGTCGACGTGCGGTTTGGGCTTAAGCGTGACCATGAAATTTGAATTTTAAATCAAAAGCTTGCTCATTTCAGAAGTGAAGCCTACAACCTGTGGCACTGTCAGTTTTTGCTATCTGAACTTTTTGTTTGTTTGTTTTTTATTTTTTGGAGAGGGATGGAGTGAGGGATGATGGGTGAGGGTTGGGGCCTCTACGGAGGCTCGCAAGGGACATTGGACAAAATAAAATGAAAATGAACTTTTGCAAGATTCGCAAAATTGTGAAATTAAAGTAGCAGACTTAAGTAATTCAAATCTTTTGCAAATAGTTTCACAGTTTAAAAACAAAACAAACACTACAAATATATCTGTATTTGTTTCTGATACTAAACATATCCAGAAATAGCCTTGAAAAAATGTTCAAATGTTAAAAGGCCTAACGGTCTCCTCTGCAAATTATAAAAAAAAGGTCATGCACTTTTCTGAGGTTGCACGTTTCCATTATGCTTTTTAATATTACTTTTAATGCTAAGGCTTATCTAAATTCACAGCTCAGTTTACCCACACTGCATAGTGCGTGTGCATGTTGTGGTTTTCAGGCTAACTGAACATCCCTGCAAAAAAAACAAACAAAAAAGTGAGAAACAAGCGTAGTGGAAAAAAAGGGTTAAACTGACAGCGAGGGCTGGCAGTGACCTTTTTACCTGGCATGTAACATGTACACGATCTAAATCTGAGCAGCACTGCAGAGGAAGTGGTCTATGATACAGTGTGGTGGAACCTTTCTCTTTAACATGAAGCTTACTTTTTACATTGCTGTGACATGACCCCTATCACATCATTTTAACTACCTCCTGTCTATGTAAAAAGGCCTAACTGCTGAGAGGCTTGTTCAGATAAGCCAACCATTCAGCACGCAATGATAAATAATCCCACAATAAACATAATAAAAATGTAGACATTAAAAATGTCACAAAGACTATTCTTCCTTTTTTTTTTAAAGGCATCTTTTTTAGGCATCTTTCCATTGATGCCTAAAAAAAATGCCATGATCAGGAAGGTTGGCACTGTGAACTACTCTGCTGCCCCCACAGTTACTGTATGAAACGAGGGTGTTGAACAAAGACCTCAGAATAATGAATAACATTTCACATCCCCTGCACAACCTAGTGGTCAGACAGAAGAGTGCTTTCAAGTAGGAGGCTCTTTCAGCTTCAGTGTAACAAATTTTGGCCCACTGTTCTTTGCAGAATTACTTTAGTTCATCCAAACTGGAGAGTTTACCAGCATGGATGACGTGTTTAAAGTCATGCAAAAGCATTTCAGTTTGATTAAGTCGAGATCAGTCGTGCTTAAGATTCAGGGCATGAACTGACGGCCAGATATTCTTCTTGAGGATTTTCTGGTAGACGACAGAATTCCATCAATTACAGCAAGTCATGCAGGTCCTGAAGCAGCAAAGCAGCTCCAGACCACCACCACTAACATTTTTGACTGTTTGCACAGGTATGATGTTCTTTTTATGAAATGCTGTGTTACTTTTATGCCACACATAACGGCACTCAAACCTTCCAAAAAGTTCAGTTTTTGTCTAATCAGTCCACAGAATGTTGTCATAAATCATCAAGATGATTTTGGTAAATGTAGGACAAAGCCTTTGTTTTTTGTTTTTGTTTTTGGGGGGGGGGTGCAGCAGTGGTTTTCACCTCGGAACTCTCCCATGGATGCCATTTTTGCCCAGCATCTTTCTTATTGTTTAGTAATGAACACTGACCCTAACTGAGGCAAGTAAGACCTGCAGTACATTTTGTAATTATCCAGGTTATCTTTGTCTAGTATTACAATTTGTTTGATGATCTGAAACATATAAAAAAATCAGGAAGGGGGGCAAATATTTTCTCACAGCACTGTATGTCCGTTTGTCTATATATATCTGATAAGCAATTTCTAGATAGACCACCTGTTTTCCAGCTCCGAGATATCACTCTGTAGTCGTAGGTAAAACTTTTCCGCCTGGGAGAAAAGCTGCCTAAGCAGCAGCACATTGGTGTGGGCTGTGTTGATGAGCTCCATCTCCACCTCCCCACGCACCACCGCCTGCAGCTCGTCCAGCATCTCCTTCACCTCGTCCACTGTGAAGGTTTCCTCCACAAGCCTTCACAAAAATGCACGTAAATTGGAAATGTTTCAGGTACATCTGAACCGAAAAGCACTTCTAATTTCATTTTCCCTGCATATCTACTTTATATAGACAACTGAACGGAAGTAACGTGAGAAAAGAGAAGAAATGACCAGTCACCTGCTATCTTTGAGCTCCTCGAAGCATGAGTCGATAGTTTTGAGCCTTAGAACTCTCTTTGAACGTGCAAATCGCATATAATTGATGATTTCATTCTGATGGTGTTCATTAAATCCAAATTCAGCCTACACGAAGATAAGAGAAATTTGATTTTAAGCAAAGATCGGCACACAGAATAAAAAATGAACACAAATAAGGTGTACATAAACAAGCAGATAATTAGCTAACTTGAAGAGGATTTTCTCTTGCTAATATGCAGCAGGGCCTTTTCACATGGGCTTGCACATCCAGCGTACTATTTATGTACATAAAGGGTTGCTCGCTAACATTAGCGGTTCACTCGTCTTTTGATTCAGCTTTAGAGCACAGGGCTAGGCGTTTAGCATGCTAAACTCCTAAAAGCGAACAGGTGGCCTGTACAGCAAATCATTTCAGCTACTTACCATGATGGCTGTGCAGCTAACGTTAACGTAACTAAGTTAGCTAGCTTGAAGACTGAGCTGCTCCAAAAGAGGGAAAAAATGGGTTTTTCTGGCTATAATTTAGATCATTCAGTGAGCAGACTGAAAACCAGCGGTGAAATGCTGGAATCGAGTGTTCTTGAAAATCTCTTATAATTACATTCGCCGAGGCTAAACAAAGGTTATATGACAGCTATAAGACTATCAAGCAGATTTGCTAGCCTCCTAGCAGCTAGTGTTTGCATTGAGAATGCCTTGGTAACGGAAAAGAGCGTCATCACCTTGGTTACCAGAGGTGCATTCAATGGCGCTACGTAAAGATTTGAAACAAAAAGTGAATCCCAAATCAACATTAACTGCCTCATCTTAACAACATTTCATATACACACGTGTGTGATATTCACTATAAGATGTTTTTTTTTAACTGGTTTTAATTTAAGGGTAGTTGTTTAGTCTTGTTGTTGTTCTACGTTAATTCGATCTCAACATAGAACACGCTATCTGCCTTTAACTGCCTCAAAAGTAGTCGGTAATCAAGTCATTCAGTTGTCTGCTTCGCAATTCAGTGTTTTGACAAGATTCATCCCAGTCAAAATTTCAGCCCCACTAAAGAACTAGCCCATTTGTGAAAGCCTATAAACACATGAGAAGCAGAGTTTTGGTGTGTGTTCCATATACATATATACCCAGTCTACATTCAATTAATGCGTGTATACTGTGTCTTAATGTCTGTCTTGGACACACATACACATAATGCAGCTCTTATTTTTGGTGCTACTGAATCTAGAGCAGTATTTAGATATCGAACATCTCCCGATCAGGATGATTTTCTAAATGGATGACTATTGGCGATCATATGACCATTCAGTTTCACCATTTTTTTGGCATCCACATTTCTACCCTTTCTAGTTGCAGATGGGTTTGCACTGAATGTGACTGATGGTCAGTCATAAACTCATTATAAGACTGAATTGACGGCGCTACTGTAGCACACCTGATTGAGCACCGGTGTGCTTAGAGTCCTCATTGCAGGGGTCTGAATCTGATCCAGGCCATTCCCTGTGTCATTCCCCTTCACTCTCTCCCTGCCTTACTGTCTATTGGCTGCACTGTCCTATAAAGGGGAGAGAATGGATTTATGTTCTGACAACTCTCCCCCTTCATCTTTCAAATCTTCTCTCTCATTGAGATTCTCTGAGTAGAGATTCTCACCATCTTGCTACTTGTTGTGTCTCATCACTGATTTGCAGCTGTGAGAAAATATAGGGTGATTCCCAGAAAACAGAGGATAAAATGTGTGGGACTGTGGGAACAGACAGATGTATGTCATAGAAATGTTGCAATAGTGAAGCCTTATGCGGGAAAAGTAGGAACAGAATGACAT